GGAGGATGAGGTAGGCAGATTGCCTGAGCTCAGGAGTTCGAGACCAGCCTGGGCAACACAGTGAAACCCCGTCTCTTCTAAAATGCAAAAACTTGTCCAGGCGTGGTGGCGTGCACCTGTAATCCCCACTACATGAGAGGTTGAGGCAAGAGAATTGCTTGAACCTGGGAGGTGGAGGTTACAGTGAGCCGAGATCGCGCCACTGCACTCTAGCCTAGGCAACAGAGCAAGACTCCGTCTCAAAAACAAAACAAAACAAAAGTTATAAAATTTAAAAGGAAAAAAAAAGGAGGGAATTAGAAAATTAGAAAATCACCATTAGGCAAACACCACATTGATAATTGTTGCCAATAAGATCCACTGATGGATGCTAAAATTAGTGAGCAAACATTGAGGAGAAATGGGATTTGCATTGTCTTGAGCCATCTCCCTCAAGCTATTTATTAACTACAAAGAGAAGAATAATTACTTTATAGAGGAAAAACCCAGCAGGCACCTCCTTAATGAAACAATCTGGGTCAACATCAGTAAGTCACAACAATAAGTCATAGCCACATCTTGATCCTTCATATCATGCACCAAGAAGGGCACAACATCACGTCTATGATAGTCTTGCCAAAAATACATAACTTAATTCCAGTCATGAGAAAGTATCAGACAAACCCCAAACGAGAGATACTGTATGAAATAGCTGATCAGTACTCAGTAATACCAAGATCATGAAAGACAAGGGAAGACTGAGAAACTAATGGATGGGAGGAGACTAGGGAGGCACAACCGCTAAATGCAATGTGAGACCCCGGATCAGATTCTGGAAGGGGAAATGGACATTAGAAGAAAAACGGGTGAAATCCAAATGAGATCTGTAGTTTAGTTAACAGTATTGTACCAATCTTGATTTCTTGGTTTTAATCATTGTACCATGGTTACATAAAATGTTAACATCAGGGGAAACCGAGTGAGGGGAGACAGGAACTCTGTAATATTTTTGGAACGTTTCTGCTAAATCTAAAAGTGGTACAAAATTAAAGAGTTTTAAAATAGGCCGGGCACAGTGGCTCATGCCTGTAATCCCAGCACTTTGGGAGGCTGAGGTGGGTGAATCATTTGAGGCCAGGAGTTCAAGATCAGCCTGCCCAACATAGCAAAACCCCATCTCTACTGAAAAATACAAAAATTAGGGGCTGGGTGCAGTGGTTTATGCCTGTAATCCCACCGCTTTGGGAGGCTAAGGTGGATGGATCACTTGAGGTCAGGAGTTCAAGACCAGCCTGGGCAACACAGTGAAACCCCTGTCTCTATTAAAATACAAAAATTAGCCGGGCTTAGTGGCATGCACTTGTAGTCCCATCTATTTGAGAGGCTGAGGCAGGAGAATCGCTTGAACCTGGGAGGTGGAGGTTGTAGTGAGCCAAGATCGCACCACTGCACTCTAGCCTGGGCAGCAGAGTGAGACTCCAACTCAAAAACCAAAAAAATACAAAATACAGAAGTACAAAAATCAGCCAGGCATGGTGACACGCGCTGGTAGTCCCAGCTACTTGGGAGGCTGAGGCAGGAGAATCCCTTGAACGTGAGAGGCAGAGGTTGCAGTGAGCCAAGACCGCACCACTGCACTCCAGCCTGGGTGACAGAGTGAGACTCTGTCTCAAAACAAACAAACCCACAAAGATCGTGGGCTCCTGAACCAGCCTGCCAGCATTCAGATTCCCAGGCTATGTGAACTGGGGTCAGACTCTTCCCCTGCTATGGGTCTCAGTTTTACTCTCTTGTCAAACGGGAGTAGCAATGGTACCTACAGCTTAAGGTGGATACCAGGTTAAACGAGTTATCCATCTAGAGCACTTACAAGCATGTACTTACCATTGTTATTGTGTAGGATGAAAAAGGACAGCCATGATCTCACTGGATTGCCACGGCAGCACTATGAGATGGGTTTTTACTGCCTTTCCCATTTTTACAGAGGCCTCCAGGCAAAGTGCTTTGTCCAAGGTCACTAGACCGGCAAATGCCAAGCCGGTTCATTCATGTGGTTTCTGATTCCACATTGCAACTAACCTTTAAGAAACTCTTTCTCTCCTGGGCATGGTAGCTCACCCCTGTCTTCCCAGCACTTTGGGATGCTGAGGTGGGAGAATCACGTGAGCCCAGGAGTTTGAGACTAGCCTGGACAACACGGTGAGACCTTATCTCTATAAAAAATAAAAAGAATTAGCCAGGCATGGTAGTGCACGTCTGCACTACTCCAGCTACTCAGAAGGCTGAGTCAGGAGGAGCACATGTGTCCAGAAGTTAGAGGTTGCAGTAAGCTATGATTGCACCATTGCATTCCAGTGTGGGTGACAGAGTGAGATCCTATCTAAAAAAAAAAAGAAGAAACTATCTTCTTTGAAGACGTAAAAGACATGAAAAACAAGGAAAGATAAGGAATAACTGAGGAACTGTCACAGATAGAAAAGAGTAGGACTAGAGCCTGGCACGGTGGCTCACGCCTGTAATCCCAGCACTTTGGGAGGCTGAGGTGGGTGGATCACCTGAGGTCGGGAGTTCAAGGCCAACCAGGCCAACATGGTGAAACCCCATCTCTACTAAAAATATAAAAATTAGCCAGGCGTGGTGGTGTGTGCCTGTAATCCCAGATACTTGGGAGGCTGAGGCAGGAGAATCACTTGAACCCAGGAGGCAGAGCTTGCAGTGAGCCAAGATCATGCCATTGCACTCCAGCCTGGCCAATACAGTGAGGTTCCATCTCAAAAAAAAAAAAAAAAAAACAAATTAGCTGGGCATGGTGTCATGCCCCTGTGGTCCCAGCTATTTGAGAGACTGAGGTGGGAGGATCGCTTGAGTCTGAAAGTCGAGGCTGCAGTGAGCCATGTTTGTGCTTCTGCACTCCAGTGCCAAACCCTGACAGAGCCAAACCCTGTGTCAAAAAACAAATAAACAACTGTTCTCCCTGTTTCAACCACATGTCTGTGCAAGAACAGATTTTCTTTGCAGGCAAAATCCAAAACAACAAATCACAACAGACTAAAATGAAAACAGATCTGAGGAGAATCCAGGTGTCGTTACCAAACCAGATACTAAAGAGATTTTAGGCCAGGCGCGGTGGCTCATGCCTGTAATCCCAGCACTTTGGGAGGCCGAGACCAGAGGGTTGCTTGAGCTTAGGGGTTCAAGACCAGCCTGGGCAACATGGTGAAATTCCATCTCTATGAAAAATACAAAAGCTAGCCAGGTATGGTGGTGGGTACCTGTAATCCCAGCTACTGGGGAGGCTGAGGTGGGAGAATCGCTTGAACCCTGCAGGGCGGAGGCTGCAGTGAGCCAAGATTATGCCACTACACTCCAGCCTGGGTGACAGAGTGGGACCCTGTCTCAAAAGAGTAAAAAATAAAAGATTTTTAAAAGATGCAAGCAACATCACTCTCCTCACTCAATTTCTTCTCTTGCAAAATACAGTTTTTTCATTAAAAATATCATTTACATTAATACAGAAGGTATTTGTTATTGTTAATTTTAAATGACAGTAAAAAATTTTAAATGTCTCAGTTTTAATACCTCATTTAGTAAATATTGCTAGCTATAGTGCACATAAGCTAAAGTTCTTTGAAGTTCTCCATAAGTTTTAGCAGTGTAAAACAGTTCTGAGATTAACAGTGTAAAACAAATAGTCCTGAGATTTAAAGTGTATGGAAATTGCTGCTACATACCAAGCTCGGTTCTGTCCCACCAACCCTTTTTTTTTTTTGAGACAAGGTCTTACTCTGTCACCCAGGTTGGAGTGTAGTGGCATGATCTTGGCTCACTGCAACCTTTGCCTCCTGGGCTCAAGTGACCCTCTTGCCTCAGCTCCCCAAGTAGCTGAGACTACAGGCGTGAGCCACCATGCACAGCTAATTTTTTTATTTTTTAAATTTTTTTGTAGAGATGGGGTTTCACCATGTTACCCAGGCTGGTCTTGAACCCCTGAGGTCAAGTGATCCACCCACCTCAGCATCCCAAAGTGCTGGGATTACAGGCATGCACCACCGTGCCCAGCCTCCACCACATTTTTTTTTTTTTTTAAAGACAGGATTCTCTCTGTTGCCCAGGCTGGAGTGTAGTGGCCAATCATGGCTCACTGCAGCCTTGAACTCCTGGGCTCAAGCGATCCTCCCACCTCAGTCTCCCAAGTAGCTGGGACTACAGGTGCTTGCCACCACACATGACTAAGATTTTTTTCTTTTTTCCTAAGAGGCAGAGGTCTCACTATGTTTCCTAGGCTGGTCCCAAACTCGTGACCTCAAGTGATTCTCCCGCCTCAGCCTCCCAAACTGCTAAGGCTACAGGTGTGAGCCCCCACACCCAGCCTCAGTTCTGCCTCTTTACAGGTAGCAACTCCTTTACACCTCACCATGAGGTTGCACTAATATCACTCCATTATCCAGATGAGGAGGCTGAGGCCAGAGAGGTTAAGCCACTTGCCCAAGATCAGGCAGCAGGTGCATAGCAAAGATGAGATTCTAACCCATTTGGTCTGGGTGCCGAGGGTCCAGAGTCCAAGCTCTTGCCCTGACAGTGGAAGGATCCTAATCAAAGACTGGGAGGCAGCCATCCTGGTGGGGAAGAGGAGAGGAGGGATGGAGAAGGGGCTGGGTAATCCAGCTCTGTTATCACTCACCCACTGGTTCCTTCCAAAACTGGCTCTGAGGCCTACTGTGCACAAACGAACAAATGTGCCACGTCCCAGAAGCGCAACAGAGATGCAATGAACAAGGACAGCAGCAGCCCCCTTAGGAGAGCAGGAGAGCACTCCCTGTGGGCTGGGCACCGTGATCATTCCGCACACTTCCAGGTGTACCACGGCCTGTACTTCCCATTCCACAGAGGCAGATGACAGAGGCTCGGGAGAAATGAGCCACCTGCTTAGGGGCTCACGGTGGGGATTCCTGAACCCTCAAACAATGAAGCACCGCTGGGCCTCGCTGGGAGAGGCGTAGAAAGGGGTCAGGGACACTTACCTGGGTAAGACAGATGGACTTGCTCTGGGGCAGCGCTGGGGGCCCCTGGGGACCCCTGGACTCCCAAGGAGAATAGCAGGAGTAGAGAGCAACAGGACCAGTAGCCAGGAAGGGGGTGCATGGTGGTGGGGTGGTGACCGCAGACAGGGGAAAAGTGGAGGGACTGAGGAGATCACCTCCTCACAGGTACAGCAGGAAGGGCTGGGAGGTTGGGGAATAGAGGATGATCTGGCAGTCCTCTGGGGGACAGAGGCAGGAGGGCAGGGAGGTCTCCTTCAAGATGGGTGGTTATCCAGACGCTGGAGAGAGAAACCAAAAATAAGAATGGCTAAGGAGCAGCAGCAGAGCTCTCTGAGCCTCACTCACAGTGTGCCAACCGCTTGACATAGATGAACTCACGGAAGCCTCATGACATTGCTATGAGGTGGTGGCTGTGAGCATCGTCATCCCCATATCACAGATGAGGAAACTGAGCAGCTGAGGGATTCAACTGCACAGCTAGGATGCGATGGAGCCAGGATTTGAACCCAGGAGGGCCTGATTCCGGAGCCTTGCTCCTAACCAGAGCTCACTCTCAGTGCTGGGGGCCTGGGAGTGGGGTGGAGGCTGTGTAGGAGGTTGCATTCGGCAGCCCCATCCCCAGCTCTCCATCCTGCTGTTAGAAACCCCAGTTCTCCTACCTACTCCCGAGATTCCAAGTATTCCTGCCTGCTCCCGGGATCTCGCCTCTCTACTCCATTCTTAGCCTTCCATTTTGCTCCTAGTGACCCCAAACCTCCCACGCCACCCCCAGATCCTTTAAGTCCATCCTGGCCAGGGCGGCCGCATCCTCTCTCCCCATCCCCAGCGTCCCTGCCCTTCCACCATCTGTTCCCACCCGCCTTCTCCCCAGCGCTTCCCCGCCTGCTCCAGCTCTGTCTCCAGCTGCCAGGCTGAAGCCGGGTCGGGACCATCCGGGAGCGGGGGTGCCCTCCCGGACCCCGGCTCACCCTCGGGGGCGCCAGCTTGCCCGCACGCGCCTCTCCAGCCACCAGCGCCGCCCCGGTATTTATGAGTTCGTGGGTGCCGAGGCCTCTCGCCGCCTACAGCCGTCCCAGCCCCGGAAGAGCCGGTCGCCTCGGGGTGACAGCCTCCCTAGACAGCCAGGGCCCCGGGTCCCACAGGTCCTGCCGGTCCTGGGCGCCCCACACCCACCCGCCCACCGCCCCCCCCAGGGCGTGGCGCGGGAAGGGGGACCCAGGAAGGCTGGGTGCGTCTCGGCCGCCACCTCCGCGTCGGCCACCAGGTGAGCGCCCGGCAGGTAAGCCTGCGCTCATCCTTCAGGCGCCCACTTTTCAGCTGGGGGGCCCCCAGGGCACGGACACTGGCCCCTACCCTGGCCCTGCCCCATTCCCAGGTACCCAGATGTGCAGGTACCGGGGGATCCCCAACCTTTCCAGCCTTGCTGCCTCTTCCTCGCAATTCCTTCCGGCTTCCTTCCTCTCCATGCTGAGCCCACTGACTCCTCAGAAGCCCGGGACAACCTGAAAACAAAACTAGAATCCCGGAATTGCCGTGGGTTTTCTGAGCTGTTCGACCTAGGTGAGTTACTCAACCTCGCTGGACCTCGGGTTTTTTCACCTGTGAAAAGGAGGTGATGATCGTATATACCCTGTGGGCTGTTGTGAGGAGTAAACGAGTTGCTGCATGAAATTTCATGCTGATAACAGGGCCCGGCCCAGAGTAAGGGTTGGATAAGAATCAGCTGTTCTTTTTATCGTATTAATGCATGAACTCCAGAAACTGACGTCTAGGGAACAAGTTAGGGTTCTCCCCTGTAAACTTTTGCAAACTGTTTGAATGTGAGGAGTGGCTGCCACCAAAGGAGAAGCAGGAAAGATCTGGGGGGCCCGGATTTCCAGTCGTTTCCCCTCCCTGAACACAGATACAATGACCCGCCACTACTTGGCTTTGTAAATTCAGAGCATATAGGCTTCTACTGATGGTGGACACCAATTTCAGAAATTGGCACTAGGAGTGTGGGAAAATCAAAATGAGCCCTTTGACTGTTTGAGTTTTTTTTTTTCTTCCCACTCCCAGAGTCTCCATTACAGCCTAAAATATAACGAAAGTAGCTCTCATAGCCAAACTTGAATACCTGCCACTCCTGTGGCCCCCAATTATAACCTCCCCTTATTCTTCGTTCTTCCAGAATGGGAGGTTCCTAAGCTTTTTTGTCCTAAAAATGCCTATGGCAAGCTGGTCAAGCCCTTCTCAGAATCATGTTGTTACATGTATAAAATAAATACACAGAAATACAAAGGAAACCAGTGTTATTGTGATATAAGGTGTAGGGGGATGTGTGTGTGTGTGTGTGTGTGTGTGTGTGTGGTTTTTGTTTTGAGACAGAGTCTCGCTCTGTTGCCCAGGCTGGAGCGCAGTGACACGATCTCAGCTCACTATAACCTCTGCCTCCTGGGTTCAAGCGATTTTCCAGCCTCGGCCTCCCAAGTAGCTGGGACTACAGGCATGAACCACCGTGCCTGGCTGAAAACGAGAAGTTTTAAAAAACACACCAATATACATGCATATATTTCTATTAGCCATCAGAGTGATGACATTATCACAGGTCAGGTAGTCACTGGAGAATGAAAAGGACAAACATCTTAGTATAATTATGAAAATACTTTTGACCCACAGGTGTCCCCAGACCACATTTTGAGAACTGCTAGATTAAAGCGTAGTAAAAGGAGAGGTAAAAAAAATTTCCCCTATCCTTCACATAGCTCCTGAATTCCCAACCACCAGCCCAGGTGAAAAAAACCCACTGGAATTGCCTCTGGTTGGACCCTGACTGGCAGATGAGGGCTTATAGCTTAGGTATAAGCTTGTGGTGGGGAACGGAGCATTGACTCTGGGGCTAGATGGCCTGCTTATAAATGGATCTTCAGCATTGACTAACTTAGACAAGTGATTTAACCGCAAGGTGCCTCAGTTTCCCCATCTGTGAAATGGGAACAATAGTAGCGCCTTATAGGGTTGTTGCAAGGATTAAATAATAAACCCCTTAGAACAGTGCCTAGCACAGAGCAAGTGCCCCCATACAATCTTCTAATTATCATTATCATAATTATCATTATAATAATTAGAAGATTATTATCAATAATCTTCTAATTATTACCAAGACATCTAGTCTGCCCAGTTAGTAAGACAGAGTTTTAATAAGCCTAGTTTTCTAAGTCACTTTACTCTGTCCCCCAGGCTGTAGTGCAGTGGCGCGATCTCGGCTCACAACAACCTCTGCCTCCCAAGCTCAAGTGATTCTTATGCCTCAGCCTCCTGCGTAGCTGGGATTATAGGTGTGTGCCATCACGCCCGGCTAATTTTTGTTTTCTTTTTTTAATTTTTTATTTTTACTTTTTATTTTTTTTTTGGAGACAGAGTCTCACTCTGTCGCCCAGGCTGGAGTGCAGTGGCGCAATCTCATCTTGCTGCAAGCTCCTCCTCCCAGGTTGTTGCCATTCTCCTGCCTCAGCCTCCTGCGTAGCTGGGACTACAGGCGCCCGCCACCACGCCCGGCTAATTTTTTGTATTTTTAATAGAGACAGGGTTTCACCGTGTTAGGCAGGATGGTCTCGATCTCCTGACCTCGTGATCTGCCCAGAGACGGGTTTTCATCGTGTTAGGCAGGATGGTCTCGATCTCCTGACCTCATGATCTGCCCGCCTCGGCCTCCCAAAGTGCTGGGATTACAGGCGTGAGCCACTGCACCCGGCCTTGTATTTTTAGTAGAGATGGAGTTTCGCTGTGTTGGCCAGGCTGGTCTTGAACTCCTGGACTCAAGTGATCTCCCCATCTCGGCCTCCCAAAGTGCTGGGATTACAGGTGTTAGCCGCCATGCCCCGTCAATTTAAACCTTTTAAATTGTGAAATGTGATATACATGCAGAAAAGTACATGAGACATAAATGTCCCACTGAATCAATAGGACAAAGTGAACACACCTGTGTAACCACCAATCAGGTGGAAGAAAAATAATCTTACCGGCTTCCCCCAAGCCCCCTCCTGCTTCCTCTCCAGCATAGCCTTCTTCCTTCCCGGGAAGGAATCCACTTAACTTTTACCTGACTTTAGTTTCCCCACCTGAGTATGCCTCCCTATACACAGTGGTTTCATTTTGCCTATTTTTGCACATGGCGTAACTAGAAATATACAGGATTAACTCTTTCACTCAACTTTATGATAGGGAAATTTATCTGAGTTGGGCATATAATTGCAACCCATTTTCATTCTCATTGCCAAGTAGCCTCCATTGTGTGAATGCACCCCAATTTATGTATCAATGGTGGGGTTTTGTTTTCGTTTTTGTTTTTTGAGACGGTGTTTCATTCTTGTTGCCCAGGCTGGAGCGCAATGGGGTGATCTCGGCTTACTGCAACCTCTGCCTCCCAGGTTAAAGCGATTCTCCTGCCTCAGCCTCCTGAGTAGCTGAGATTACAGGCATGCGCCACCACACCCAGCTAATTTTGTATTTTTAGTAGAGACAGGGTTTCACCATGTTGACCAGTCTGGTTTCGAACTCTCGACCTCAGGTGATCCGCCTGCCTTGGCCTCCCAAAGTGCTGGGATTACAGGTGTGAGCCACCGCGCCCAGCCTTCAGTGATTTATTTATCAATTTGTTTATCAGTTGGTTTATCTATCAAAACCAATTGTCAATGGAAATTTGAGTTACTTCCTTTTTTTTTTTTTTTTGGCTTTTGCAAATAGTGCTGCGATCAACATTCTAATACATATTTTGTTAAACATATATATACATTTCTCTTGGATGTAAACCAGGAGTATAAGATGGCTGGATCATAAGGTGTCTATATATTTATGTTTGGTAGATACAGCCAAAGAGGTTTCCAAAGTGATCATAATAATTTCTTCTCCTCTCACCAGCCACGTTAGAACATTTCCATTGTTCCACATCGCTGCCAACACCTAAAACCAATAAAGCATTGTCAAGTGCTTTATTTTTAGTCATTCTTGTGGGTGTGTAGTGGTAACTCATTGTAGTTTTAATTTGCATTTCCCTGCTGAGTAATGAAATTGAACATCTCTTCATTTGCATATCGGCCTTTTGGATATCCTTTTTGTGATGTGCTTGTTCAAGTGTCTTGTCCGGTTTTCTATTGGGTTGTCCATTTTTTTTGGTTTATTTACTTTTATTTTATTTTTTTAGAGATAGGGTCTTGCTCTATCACCTAGGCTATAGTGCAGTGGCATCATCATAGCTCACTGCAGCCTCTACCTCCCTGGCTCAAGCAGTCCTCTCACCTCAGCCTCCCAGTAGCTGGGACCACAGGCATGCACCACCACCATGCCTGGCTAATTTTGTTTATTTCTATTTCTATTTGTATTTATTTATTTATTTGAGACAGAGTCTCACTCTGTTGCCCAGGCTGGAGTGCGATGGCATAATCTCGGCTCACTGCAACCTCTGCCTCCCGGGTTCAGGCGATTCTCCTGCCTCAGCCTCCCGAGTAGCTGGGATTACAGGCACCCGCCACCACACCTGGCTAATTTTTGTATTTTTAGTAGAGACGGGGTTTCACCATGTTGGCCAGGCTGGTTTCGAACCCCTGACCTCAGGTGATCCACCTGCCTCGACCTCCCAAAGTGCTGGGATTACAGGTGCGTGCACCACGGCCAGCTAATTTTGTTAATTTTTTTGTAGGGACCAGGTCTTGCCATATTCCCCAGGCTGATCTTGAACTCCTGGACTCAAGCGATCCTCCCACTTTGACCTCCCAAACTGTTGGCATTACAGGTGTGAGCCACCGCACCTGGCCTCTTCTGTTACTTTCCAACAGCTTTCTCATTTGAGTTACCCTAGGTTGTCAATCTATCTGGAACTGATTTTTGTGTACGGTGTAAGTTAGGGTTTTAAATTTTATCAAAGTAATGCACATAGCTAATAAAATAAAAATAAATGAGTCTACTTCCTTTTTTTTTTTTTTTTTTTTGAGACGGAGTCTCGCGCTGTGTCACCCAGGCTGGAGTGCAGTGGCGCGATCTTGGCTCACTGCAAGCTCCGCCTCCCAGGTTCACGCCATTCTCCTGCCTCAGCCTCCGAGTAGCTGGGACTACAGGCGCCTGCCACCACGCCCGGCTAGTTTTTTGTATTTTTAGTAGAGACGGGGTTTCACCATGTTAGCCAGGTTGGTCTCGATCTCCTGACCTCATGATCCACCCGCCTCGGCCTCCCAAAGTGCTGGGATTACAGGCTTGAGCCACCGCGCCCGGCCGAGTCTACTTCCTTAAGGAGACTTCTTTTTAAAAAACTATTTCTCCATTATGAAAATAGTAACATCATTGGAGACAGCTCACGCCTGTAATCCCAGCACTTTGGGAGGCCGCGGTGGGCAGATCACGAGGCCAGGAGTTTGAGACCAGCCTGGCCAACATGGTGAAACCCCATCTTTACCAAAAATACAAAAATTAGCCAGGCATGGTGGTGAGCGCCTTTAATCCTAGCTACTCGGGAGGCTGAGGCAGGAGGATCGCTTGAACCCGGGAGGCGGAGGTTGCAGTGAGCCGAGTTCACACCATTGCACTCCAGCGTGGATTTTAGCTGGGTGCGGTGGCACACACCTGCAGAGCCAGACTCTGTCTCAAAAAAAAAACTACTAAAAATGAAAATATTCGCATCTCATTACTGAAAACTTAAAAAGAGCCACGGAGGTTTCATGGCTCAAGGAACTAACCACTTTGGGTTTCGTTCTTGTTTTTGGAGACAGGGTCTCACTTTGTCACCCAGGCTGGAGTGCATTGGTGCAATCATGCAATCACAGCTCACTGTGACCTCAAACTCCTGGCCTCAAGCAATCCTCCCACCTCAGCCTCCCAAAATGCTGGGATTATAGGCGTGAATCACTGCACATAACCACAAACCTGGGTTTGAATTCTGGTTCTGCCACCTTGTGACTGGGTAACCTTGGGTGAATGTCTGCTCTTGTGTTAGCCTCAGTGACCTAATATCTAAAACTGATATACAGCGCCTACTTTGCAAGTGCTTGGAAAGATACAGCAAGTAAAACATGTAACACGGGGTGGGGCTGATCAAGAAAGAGCTCCATAGATAATAGCCACAATTATTTACAAAAGATTTCATTCAATCACTCACTGGCCATTGAGAATGCTTGGAGCATTTTTTCTTATACACAGGAATTGGGTTGAATCACAGTCATACCACAGTCTGACGTTATTTTTACTGGACTGTTCTAAACATTCTTTGATACTGGCTCATAATATTCCATTGTGTGGTTTACTTTA